ACATTTCACAAGATTTTAAATTTTTTACATGTTTTTAGGCAAGCATTTTTTTCTATTTTTCTTTTATGCATTTCTTATTATTGCTACACTCTAAAAAATGCTGGGTTAAAAAGGGACAAACCCAGCTATTGGGTTGTTTTGACCCAGCGGTTGGTTTTTAGAGTGTAGCAATAATAAGAAATGCATAAAAGGAAAATAGAGAAAAAATGCTTGCCTAAAAACAACAAAATATAAAGTACAGTTATATATATTTCCCCATACTCGCATATATCTGTAGTTGGAAACAGTACTGGAAATGTCAATTGAAAATACAAAGAGTAAAGTGACGTATCAAAGCATCTGAACAAGCCCAACCCAAGAGTTAGTCAGGTGACAGACTAGTTAAACAAGTTATAGTACTTAAGTGAATGTCCTAACTAAGACTGTGAACATTTCTATAAACCAGGTATAGCATATAGGCTATACATATTTTATTTTATTTTAGAAAGAAATCAATATTATTTATTTAGCAAGGACGCATTCAATTGATTAGTGACAGCAAATACATTCATAATTTTACAAAAGATTTCTATAAAAAGTTTCTGTCAAAATGTAAATGTACCTAATTGGTCAAAAGCTTTCAAGAAAAAAAAAAAAAGATTAATTCTTTTTTGGTATAATAATTAATAATAATAATTTATGCATTTAGCAGACGCTTTTATCCAAAGCGACTTACAGTGCATTCAGGCTATACATTTTTTTACCAGTATGTGTGTTCTCTGGGAATCGAACCCACAACTGCTACCGCAATGCTCTACCACTGAAACACAGGAACAACTTATAAGGTCTTATAAAATTTAAGGTATTTAATTATAAGGTATAATTTGTCAGACTTTTTTTTTTTTCTAAGACAGAGAAGTGACAAAAAACTGTTTTCGGAGCACTGCACCAGCCTGATTCTGGTTTGCATTACAATCCCACCAAAGTTAGACAAGGTCATTCTAAACATAGCTCTATTGTTGACATCTTCTACATTGGTTCCGCCTGGCTTTACTCCAGACCTCTCCATCGGCATTCCAGGGAATCCCAGCCAGGAGTGCCGAGAAAGAAAAAGTGAGTGAGAGATACCCTGACTGATCATCTCTCCAAGCCCTCAAAACCACAAGTCGTCTGCAGTGCAGGAGCTTTAACAACCGCCACACTTTTGTCAAACAGGACGGCCCCTGAAACTGATCCATCTAATAATGCAGCAGGTGAGAGCGGCCTCTCAATTCCCGAATGCAGCTCTAGCACGCCCTTAACAAGCTTCCAGCATGGCTGCCGAGTGTTAAATCACTCCATAAAAATCACAGGCCACATCGCCGGCCTCTCTCTCCATCAGCCGCTGGAAATGAGAGGTCAGGGTGAACGTTCAGTGGTGGCTGGGAAAACCGCAGATGTGTGGTGGGAAGAATCTTCCCAGGAACAACTGGGGAGAGGTTTCTTTATTAACAAAAAATACTAGCACTGACAAACCAGTGTTTTGTCAATGTTTTTCTAGTGGTATTTTTATTACTAGAAATGAAATGGAAGTAGCGGCACATCATTTCTTCCTCATTACAAACATCTGAACAAAACTGATTATAAAAAAAAGGGGTAAAAAAGTGTGGATGGAGGCAGATTTATATGCAAGCTTGCAGTCGAATTCAAGAAAGGTGCAGGTTCAAACTGACTAAAAGATTGGAGAAGTCTGGTATACATCACCAGAAAGAAGTCATTTCACCGCAAGACTAAGAAGTACAAGGTCAAAAATGAAACATGTATGGACAAAACATTCACAATAAGATCAATAACAATGAGATCAATAATGAAATCGACTGAATTTTCATTTAATGCCAACTTTAAACCTAACTTTGTCAAAAAAATAAAAAAATAAAAAATGTGGATCTTGGTTTCTAAAAAGCCATAGAAGTTATTACACTGTATGTAGTATGTATTTTTTATTTTTTTTATTTTTAAGTTTATGAGATTTAAACATTTTTCCTGATTGAACACAAACTTGGAAAATACATTGAATGTTTGTCAAAACACAAAATTACATTTAGTGCTCGACAAATTTGCATTCAACAGCTCAAGTTTCAGGGAGGAATATGCAAAAGTTGATGTTATTTGCAGTGAAGTGTGAAGTGCAGTATGAAAGGTATTTGATTTGTTCTCCTTTGACATCGGTGTAAACACTTCTGATTTCTTCCATATGTTATGCAAACGTATGGCTTAGATAGCAAGAAAAGGCAACAAATATAAAAGGCAAACTTCGTTATAAAGAACCTGCAAGCCAAAAAGTTAATGTACAATGAGAGGATAAATCTGGCACCTTCAGGGCTCCACTGAGTAGACGGTAAATCAACCACAATGTAAAGGTTATTTTAGTATTACTTATATAATATTACAGTATTTACTAATATTTTGAATTAGCTTTAATTTTTATATTACAGTTATATACAGTTTATTTTTAGTTTACTTTTAAAAAAGCTTTACTTTTAAAGCTGATATATAAGGGCTGTCAGTCGATTACATTTTTTAATCTAATTAATTACAGGCTGCTGCGATTAATTAATCACAAACAAAATGTGGCTGTGAAAAACCCCCTAAAGATAATTTAAATCTATTGTGTTAAATGTTTAGGCTACAATGGCCTAACATAAAGTATGGAACATAAAAGAAGATCATTTGAGAAACTCAAGTATTTTTTCAGTATTTTTTGTTCATGCAATGAAACTTTGGTCACTAGTGACCAAAACAGCTTAGTTACCAACAGTATTCAAAATACCTTCTTTTATGTTGTGCAAAAGAAATTAAGTCATTCAGGTTTGAAACAACACGAGGGTGAGTAAATGATGACAGAATTTATTTATTTATTTATTTTTGGTGAACTATCTCTTTAATGTTTTTATTTATTTATTTATTTCATAAATGAAATTATACTCTAAACAAGAAACTAAAACTACCAGCAGGTGGCGTTAAATGTCTTTGAGTCGATTCGTTCAAATGACTGATTCATTCAGGAATGAAGTAAATGGCTTTCTTTATGAATGGGCCTTTGAATCATTGGTTCACACGTTTCGTTCAAAATGCGGATTCATTCAGAACCTAAACACCCTTGTGTTGCTCGGAGACGCACAACAATTCTGCTATGGCTTTTTAGGTAATATTTTTGTTGGCAAAATTGAACAAAAACACACTATATTGTGTTTAAAATATAGCACAATATTAACTTCTTCTTTACTAAACTAATCACATTTGCACTCGTGCTCTTCATGACAAAAGTGTGATATTGCTCTTGCTGCTGGTGTGATAT